TAACATATCGAAAAATAGCGAAATACTTACGTTAACGTTAACTTTCGAAGGTTATCACTAGAAAAAATTTCCTGATGGAAGACCCAGATAATTTCGTTACTATTACTGAAAAAGACAGGGATTTAGCACATACATATCACGATAGATTATGCTCAGATGCAGACATGATCCAGTTTGCAAAAGATACCGATGATGACCCAAACACATTGATGAACATGTCTAGACGAAAACGACTAATAAGTGAGGAAATTATGTTCCGATTGTATGAAGATGATGGCGAATACCAGGTAAGGAGTTATGATGATGATGAGTGGGTAGAAAAAATAACGATACTCCAGGAAAATGGATATCTATGGTAAGATTACTATATACTAGATGCAAAGCATCTCCACTTCGTGAGAGGAGTGGATAGGTGAATTTCGCAGGTAGGAGAGGGATTTTTGCTCCTACATATAAGCGATATAAAAATTTTGAATTAAAATATAATGAGAACTCTATTCTTTATACCAATATACTAGTTTTTGTGATGCCTAAAAATGATATTTGGTAAAATTTTAAGTAATATATTATCTCAACTTTAATTTTAAATATGAAAGTGTATATAGAATAATAGTACAGCTGAAATGCCTTGTAATTGGTTATTAGTCAGCAAAATCCATTTATGTAAAATTCCATCAAGAGGGCAACATTGCGCTTCCCATGCATTCAAAATTTGAAATGGTGTAATAATCCCAGAACCGTGTAAAGGATGTGGTCGAGGGACTAAATCGAGCGTTCAGCTTTGTGTCCCATGTGGATAAAGTAAAGAAAGAGCATACAAATATTATAAACACAAATGCGAGGAAAAAATCTGCCTTCTTGGTCTATAACCTCGAAGCCAGAAAATAATTGTCTATCTATTTTTGTGGATATATAGTTACTGTACAACTGTTTTTAACAAACCGACTATGAACGTAGTGAATTGTCGGGGATAAGTAATATCATTTATTTTCCATATATAATCTGGGTCCTTTAGAAATAATCAATTAAACTTATCATTTTCATAAGTAATAATCAACTATTATCATTTTCATAAGTAGTAACACATATATCATGTATATCCAAGAGCCGGAATATAACAAAGAAACAATTACCGCTAAGGAATTATCCAAACTAGCTGGGTGTTCGAGGAAACCAAAAATTTATAACCTCAAAATGAATCGTATGATTGTAATCGATGGACTAACATATAATAAATTGATACGTGGTGAATATGTGCATTGGGAAGAAAAGGGGCTCTTGATTCCACCATCACCATTCGATGAATATATTAGCGGAGCAAGCACAAGGTGCTAAAAATAAAACATAATACCATAAAACTTATTATAACCTGAGTCACCACAACTCGAAGCTATAAATTTTTTTTCGTTATATTCTATGTAATATCAATATTTCAAATTGACAGATTCGATCTAGCCAATTTTTACCAAATATCGGGTGGTGATACTCGGATTTAAATATCTTATTTTAATATATAATTCAATTTTCTTGATGATTGCGCAGGCAATATTACAATTGGAAATATCGAGCTGCTGGATCTTCAGACAAGAATGAATAATATTCCAAATCGCTATTTCAGAAATTCCTTTACAGTTAGAAATATTCAGATATTCTAATTTATGACATGAATTTGCAATTGCATAGAGACCTTTATCAGTTATTAATCTACCATAATACCCTTTTGCCAAGTTGAGATACTTCAGATTTGGATATGATTCTGCTATTCGATTTAATGTTTTATCACTCAATCCCACACTATAATATAAATTCAAATGAACTATATTTGGAAACAGGCGTATAATACCTTTGAATTATTTATCTAAAAGTGAATGGTAGTTTGGAATGTCCAGATGAGTTACATTCAAACAATAAACTGGCTTATGCTCACCACGTATTATTTTCATAAAAATTTTTCGTATATTATTCTTATTTAGCTCAACTCGTTTCCATAGAATAGGAGCACCACATCTGTACCATAATCGGGAAATATATAGAGTGGGGTAGAGGGATTTATCTATCAATAAGAAATATAAAATCTGTTCTAATACTTCTGGTATACTAAAAATTCTTGAATGTGTCATAAATATTATGTGTATTAAAAATGCAAAGAACGATTTAAATTTCAAACTGATGACCAGTTACCTGTATACAGGTATATATTCTCTTTTTTCAAGCATGAGAGGAAAAAGCATAATTAATTTCGATTTGAAAAAATATATTCCATAATGTATATAACCTAAAGAATTGTTTATAACCTACTCGACCTACTACATCAGGAAATTTTTTCTAGTGAAAACCTTCGAAAGTTAACGTTAACGTAAGTATTTCGCTATTTTTCGATATG